TTTAAGCCACTACGGAAATATTAGAGACGAATCGTATTTTATGACCAAATATTTGAAGCCCAAAGTCGAGCTAAAGGAATTTTGAATCGATGATTAAGGGCTCAGTTTTAGTGAAGGAGTTCAAGTTTAGCAAACAATATACAAACCAAACAAGCTAGGATGAGGCCAACCTTGAGAGCAGCCCAAGACAAGACATACTGCTGGGCGTGATTTTTTGATGGGCCCGATCGGTTGGACTGATAGCCCGATCGGGCGAGTGTGATGCAAGCCTGTTCTTTAAGTCGGTGGACTTTGTTCAGCTTAGGGGTTCTGTTGTTATAAAGAGGGAGTAGTAGTAGGAAATCAGCTATTCATTGTTTTTAGGGGGATTTCATATTTATTTGGGGTTGACTTTATTTTTAGCTTTTACGGAACTTTGGCTCAGGTTTTCTTTAGTTTAGTTTTATTGTCTTCCCTTATTATTAGCTAGTTTATAGTTTGGTTTTTCTTCTTTTATGCTTTTTAGTTTTAAGATGATCAGGCTTTCTTTTTCGTAATTTATGTTCTTCGACCTTTCATACTAAGTTTTAATTGTTAATTTGTTTCTCGTTAATTTATTAATATTCTTGTTTTTATTATGTGTAATTTAATCGCTTATTAGTTTAGTTTTTTATTATGCACGAGTAGTTTATTTCTAGGGTTGTGGGGATCCATGAATAATATGAAGGGATGATTTATTATTATTGATTGTTAATGTTTTGGGTTAATTTCCTATTGATTGATATAATGCTATGCAATTAGATAAGCGCTGGTTTAATTGTATGAGTTACGCTATATTGATTCGAGATTTGACATATGAGAATTGATATTAAGGCTTAGTTTCAATAGGCAGGTTAATTTATAAATGGTTAAGTCAAGATTCGAGAGATGCGATTTAATACCGCTAGGTGAATACAGTGATTTAATACCGCTAGGAGCCATCAACGACTTATTGGGCACGCTGGACAGTGGGCTGACCAGAAGCTCCTCGATGAGATGGTTAACGCTGATTTTTAAGGTCGTCTTTCAAGGGTTGTACGTATCTCGAGTTCTAGAAACTGTATATTAGCATGTGACCTATCGTTGAAACCCTTTTGGATGCTATTTTCATTCTTCATGCATAAAATCCTCAATATTAATATCCACGAACATAAACTCTTCGATCATCAAACTTAATTCATCAACTTTTTTAATTTCTATCCGAATATCATCAAAATTAACTCTAAATATTTCGAAAGCATTCAAATAATTGTGAAAGCACCTGAACATTTAAAAACACAAAGTGTAATAAAGCAAAAATTGGACAATTATGCAAATATGACAAGACTTAAAATGCAACTATACAAGTAGAATAAACGTGCCTATGTATAAATGTGTTTCACCAATCCACTAAATAAAATTTAATTTGGTGTCTATATGCCTAAATAATCAGTCGTATAAGAATATTAATAACGCATGTAAAAAAACAATTGTAAAGTATAATTTACAAATAGCGAAAAAATTAATGATGTCATAAAGAGAATATTACCCCCTTCAAAGGAAACTTATAATTGTACTACCTCTATTACATATTAGTTGTAACTTTGAAATATTTTATGTCTCACAAATAATACCCCAAAGTTGTAAATAATATGTAACAAAGGTAGTATTTAAAATTAGGAGAGAGGAAAAAGTAAAGTGAAAAATTGACAATTAAAAAATATTAGTTGTGAGAGTAAAAGTGATGGACCCATTTCTAAAATAGTTATATTTTTTTTTTAGATACATCACTTTTAAAATTGCAGATTCTTAGGCAATTTTTTGAGTTGAGAGAGATAGGGAGAAAAAAAAAAAAAAGAGAGCCCATGTAGTATGAGAGAGGGAGAGAGAATCTATTACTTCCTCCGTTCTTTTTTGGGATATTCTATTTGGTGGCCTCGTGGTTTTAAAAATTCTATATGGAAGACGAACTTTTTTTGGACTCTCTTCATTGGCACCAAGGTTTAGAAAAATTGACCATAGTAGCCTTTTTTATATTTATGGCTAACCTTTTTAGTTAAAATGGTTAACCTTTGGTTTTTTTTAATTAAAAATTATTTAAATTATATTTTAAAATAATAAATTAAAAAAAATTAAAAAAAAAAAAAGACAAAAAAATTCTCAAAAATTCCCAGCCACTCCACAAACCCTAACATTGCCGGAATCCGGCCAGCCACCCAAACCTGACCACTGAAACCACCTCCCAGCCTAACCCCCGACCACCGAAACCCAGCCTCTACCCACGACAACCCCACCAACACCGACGTCCGGCGTCCTCCTCCTGCCGGCTCAGCCCAAGTCCACGACCTTCACCCACCTACGTCAGACCCCCTCCCCCACCGCCAACACCGCGCTTTCCCCACAATAAACAATCACGCAAGGATTTCGGTTGTTGCGAGCTTACGGGGCTGTTGGGTTGTAATTCTTGATTGGTGGATGTCGCGCGCTGCTTTGGTTGTTGGTTGTTGTTGGGGTTACGCCATTATGATGTTGGTTGTTGTTGGGGTTGTGCGACTGCGTGTGCTGCTGTGGTGTGAAGAGATGCAGGTCGGGCGGTTATGGTGGTTGTTTGGTGGAGATGCGGACTGCGATGCGGGCGAAGGTTGTGGGTTTTCTGGTTTCGGTGGTCAAGAGCTGGCTTGGAGGTGGTTTCTGTGGTCGGGAGTTAGTGGCTGGCCGGATTCCGGCAAGGGTAGGGTTTGTGGGGTGGCTGTGAATTTTTGGGAATTTTTTTGCTTTTTTTTTTATTTTATTTTAATTTTATTATTTTAAAATATAATTTAAATAATTTTTTAATAAAAAAAAAAAACAAAGGTTAACCATTTTAACTAAAAAGGTTAGCTATAAACCTAAAAAAGGCCACTATGGTCAATTTTTCTAAACCTTGGTGCCACTGAAGAGAGTCCAAAAAAAGTTCGTCTTCCATGTAGAATTTTTAAAACCACGAGGCCACCAAATAGAATATCCCTTCTTTTTTACTTGACCCGCTTTGACTTTTACACTGTTCACCACCCCTCCTTTGACCGTTTTTTTGTGAATAATATGTAAGCAAGAACATATTCATGTGAGATCTTTTTGAATTCGTCTCAATAAGTAATATCATAATATATAACTTTTATAATTTTTACTTATAAATAATTAAAGTTATTGATCGTTAAAGTTTTGCATTGGCAAGCGTGATAAAAGTAACATGTCAAGTAAAAAAGAACAGAGGAAGTACCTAATACCAAAAGTGAAACTAAGAACAACGCTGGCAACGTATTATTATAAATTTTCCCTCCAAAATCACTTTCTTACAAAAATACATTGTTACGGATAAAGAATGATGTTTGTATCTAATTTATTACTTTCATTTTACATAAAATAAAAAGTTAACTTCTTAAAATACTAAATTGCCTAATAATGACAATTTAATTAAACTTCCTAAAACACCGAATTGCTTATTATAACAATTTAATTATTCTCTCTTGCATGTTGTTATTTTTTAAATTTATTTATTAACATATTTTTATTGGCTTTTTTTACTTATAACACCACAAAATTGTCAAAAAATTGATTATAACACCACAAATCTAAAACTTTTATTATAACACCACAAATAAAGACCCAAAAAATTGAATTTCACCACCATTTAGTTGATTTCTGGATGGAATTCGTTAGTGGGACCCACTATGGACATGTGTCAATAATGCATTAGTGAAAAAAATAAAAATAAAAATAAAAAACCTAAACCCTAAAGCAGCCCCACCACTACCACTAGCAACTTTAACCCCCACCACCAGCAGCCCAACCCCAGCTGCTGACACATCTTGCCCCACCTTGACCGTTGAAACTAGCCTAACCACCACCCCCAAAACCGGCAACTCCACCCCTTCCCCCACATACCACCCCAACCCCTTCGGCCCAACGCGAAAACCACCCCCTTTTCCCCACCCTTGAAACGGCATAATCGACCATCGAAATCGACCATTATGGGCTTTCATGGTCGAATTCGGTCGTATTAAGGGTGAAGGATAAGGGGAGGGGTGGTTTCGGGGTTGGTCTAATGGGTTTAGGCTGCCGGTTTTTCGCTGGTGGCTAGGCTGGGGTGTTTCTAGATTAGGCTAGGGTGGTGTGTCGTGCTAGTGGCCTGGTTGGCTCTGGTGGGTTTTACTAGTGCCGTTTGGGAGGGGGGGGGGTTGAGATGGAGAGGGGGCTGCCGACGACGGAGGGTCAGGGTTGTCGGTGATGGAGGTGGGCTGGGTTGGATTTAGGGTTTTTTTGTTCTTTTTTTAATATTTCTTTTTATTTTTATTAATCAATTTTTTTAACCAATAGGTTATTAATACGTGTACATAGTTAGCCCCAATAACGGATTCCAACCGAAAATCCGCTAAGTGGTGGTGAAATCCAATTTTTGGGTTTTTTTTGTGGTGTTATAATAAAAGTTTTACATATTGTGGTATTATAATCAATTTATTGACAATTTTATAGCGTCATAAGTCAAAAAATTCAATTTTTTCATACTTGGTGAGTCAATTAATTATATTTTATAATTTTTATAAATTTTATTTTCATTATAATTATTTAACAACTGTGCATTGCATGGGATTTAACAAAGTCATTAACTAAAAGAAAAAGTGATACATCTAAATTGAAACTTCCATACATGAAAAGTGATACATCTAATAAAAAATAGAGAAAATATAAAGAAATTAAGGGTCTATGGAAAAATGGAATTACTTATATAAAAGTCATTTTATTAATACTCAAAACAAAATAAAGGTTCCATGAATGATCAAATAAGGATTTTTTTTTTTTAAAAAAAATAAAAAAAATAAAATAAGGGTAACCATATGAATCTCTTATAAACAAATGAATATTCACACAAGATCTGGATTCTTTTTATTTGTAACAAAAGAATATATTATGTCTCACATAATATATCCCTTGGTTACAAATAAAAAGCAACGGAGGTAGTAAGATTAAAAGAGAAATGGCATCTACTTCAAAGGTTTAGAGTAAACAAGAAATGGCATCTACTACACGGTTTACAGTAACAATTATGAATACATCACAAGAAAGAGACTTCTATACTTCTATTACAATACTTTTGTCGACCTACCTTAAAGATTAGACCATAACAAACCACCTCTCAAGCTTTCAGAAGGGATAAATAAATTAATACTTCGTACTGGCTTCTGTGCAGCTCAATCTAGAGAAACACAGTTATCTCAGTGATTTACAAATGACGATATATACAGTTTACAGGGTATGTAACACTAAAACCCTATAATTACCAATAATTATAAATATATCTATCTTTTGCATAAATCAAATCCGTGCATAGCATCCTTGCAGCTGAATGAACAGTATGTAAAATATTTTGGTTTTGCACGCTGAATCCCTGCAGCTCAATGCACAAAATGTAGCACAAGTGATCTAGAGGCACCCTTCCTCGAGTAAATCTTCAGAGGAGAATATGATCGATACAAAAAGATCAAAGATGTCCTGCTGATTTAGCATGAATTATGCAAATGGGTTTCCCCCAACAGAAGCAACAGGTCCATGAGTTGGAACATTTCTGCAGAATAGTGAACAAATTATTGCTATAGGCACCAGCATCAGCACCAACACCAACAACAAAAGGGGAGGGGAAAAAAAACAACATAGATATAAAACAAATGAAAAGATATTCTACACAGCACAAGATTTGATTATATCCTAGTCAAATACATAATATAGCAAAAAGCCTACACCATTTGCCTGAATTGATTAGAATATCTGACAAATACACAAAATTGATAAATCTTAATACATGCCTTTTTGCTAGCACTTCAGAGATAGTTTGAATGAGTCATATCAATTGTTATTTCTTCAATAATAGAGCTCAAAAACCTCACAGCAGCTCTCTTCCTCCACTTAAAAGTTTAAATTACCATGATGGATCAAAAGCTTAAATATATACAAATGATAAAATGCATATTTTGGAACCAAAGGAAGTGTCATCATGTAGTGTCATTTATCCTGCCAATGCAAAAACTGGAACCTAATTGTTCTTGCACTGCAAGATTGCAATGTAATTTCTAAGTTCTATTGTTGAGGTAGTTTTTCTCTGCTACCAATGATCAAGCGTGTAGATTACATACATCATATGTGGTCTTGTTAGAGCAAGGGGCAGAAATTCCAGTGGCAATGAAGCTTTGGATATCTCCTACAATGGCTCCTTTTCAAGTATCATTGTAAATAGAGTAGCCTTTTTTTTCCCTCTCTTTGAGTTTATGCTTCCAATAAATTACCAGGCATACACTTCGCCCAATGTCTATACTATAGTTTTGTTATGTTATCCCTATCTTATCAACAAGGTCATCTTCTCCTAGATCTCAAACTTCACAAACCGCTGGTACCAATAATGAAAAGGAAAAAAAAAGTACCAAGTAATGAAGCACAGCTGTTTATCCTTGTAACCTATAAAATGGATCCGCCTCAATAATTCCTTTTATAAAAATATTTTTCATTTTTGACAGGTCCTTTTATAAAAATATAAACGCTTTTTATCCTCGTAATTTATCTGGCGCTCAAACCAACCCCCTAACCAACCAAATTCTAACCCATAAAAACCCACCCACCCACCCAATCACTCCACTCCTTCACCACCCTTGCACTAGCCCTCTTTATCTTGCTCTGAAACTCTAACTCGCTCCCACCACCAAACCACCTTCATTATCAACTTCGTCTCTCCCCAGAAAAAATTCTCTTCTCCCGCTTCACACACCTTTTTTCAAACTCTTTCAACTGATTATCTTGTTATGTCCCTTATTCTATATCTGATGGTTCCTTATAACGATGCATGTTAGCCAACCCCAAATCATTTTTGGACTAAGGCTTTGTTGTTGTTGCTGCTGCTACTGTTGTTATTGTATTAATTATCCCTATTTTTTTATTTAACCCTTTTTTTATTTTGAAATAAGTATCTAAAAATTTTCCCGACACCTTGTCAAGACATTCTTTAGACCGTATCCCCATATCCTCTAGATTTTTGAAGTAGCGTTAGCGTATCGGATCCTTTGATCCCTACTTGGATACAAAACCCTCCGAGTTTGAGCAACATAGAAGAAGAGTATGTTCTTAAGATAGGTAATTATTTAAATATCTTTGGAAATTAAAATGGACAGGAATAATAGAAATTCAATTAATTCTTCCCTTAATTTGATTTCTAGGTGTGAATCTTAGATAATCAAATTAAACCCCTCTAGAAATAAAGCATAGGAGATTGTAGTGGAACCCTAGGTATTACAATTGTATCGGAACCCTAAGAATTTTCTTTGCTGAGTTTAGGTATTTGAAATGTCAAATTACCTGTGTTATATAATCATCACCAACAATCTGTTACACCCCTTGCAAAGTTCAAAGACAAGGAAATAATACACAGAAGGAAGAGAGTCTGTGAGAGAGAAAGAAACAGAGAGATTCTTCTAGGATGGATAATTCTTGGCATCCATGTGTTACGAATACTTTGGTGCAAAAAAAAAAAAAAAAAAAAAAAAAAAAAAAAAAAAAAAAAAAAAAAAAATTGGACTAGCATGATTGCGAGCAATACTTCAGCAGATCAGAGGCTTATAAAGAAAGAAAACTGTATTAGTTCTGTTGCCCACCATCATCTAGAATGCCATTCTACCACCCTTTTACGGAATTATTCAACAACATTGCCAACAGCCACAGCCAACTCACTACATGGAATAGGAAACAAAATCTCTCTAAGATAGTAGGATGATATGCAATTGAAGATCAGTTCCAAATAAGAGGAAGATTCACAGCTCCAGCTCTGTCTTCAAATCTACTCCAGACAGAGGGACTAAAAAAAAGCAAGATTTCTGGGGATCGGGATAAATTATGAGGAACAAAAACTTAGAAATGGCTTAATACTTGGCATCGAGTTTCTTAAACTATATTGTTCTTTGTTCATTGTATACATCTTATTCTTGGTGTTGTTTTTTCTTCCTCACTGTCCAACTAAAATATATCATTCCTTTTTTAGCAAGATAAGAAAATAATGTTACTAATAGATACAGGAGCTTTGCAGTAAAGAGTGCCAATCAAGGAACACACACCAGGCATACTGCAACCACTCGTTTTGCATCAGCGAGTCAATGCATAGTTTGACTTCAGGAAAACTCACTAAGTTCAGAGTCATTTAAATTTTGCAGCTAATCCCAAGGAAGCAGTTTATCTTAAAAAATCCTAGTGTTCAATCCAAAGTTTGATTTCTAACAGACCCAAAATCACGAGCCAATTCCAATTTTCAAGTAAATCCCAAAAAAGCCTAACCACAGCCCAATCCCAATAAGTTGGCAGATTTTACTCTTTTTATATCATTAGTAGGCCTTTTAAGAGACATTAAATAGAATAACAATATTAATCTACCTGAGTCCTAACCACCAGAATGAAACGTTTAATGTGTTAACAGGCAGAATATCAGGTCAATACATGCTGACAAATTTGAGATGATACGTTTCTCCTAGGAAAATATCACTGAACCAAACTACTAGATCACACAATACAAGCATGACAACTCTTAAGTTATCCCAAAAAAAAAAAAAAAAAAAAAAAAAAAAAAAAAAAAAAAAAAAAACCTTAGATTTATGTTATAGAAAGGTGAGAGAGGGGGTAAATATAACAGAAAAGAGCACCAAATTCAATAAAATATAACAGAAACAACGATGTAATATTAGCAATTTAATAATACAATTATCTAAAACGACAAGTGTTTGGAGTAATGAAATGTGTAAATACAAAGATAATATAGGATATTCTTACGGCAATTGAGAGCTTGGAGCCTGTGTCGCCATGTATGACATCCCACCTGTTAAAAAAACTGAATCAAATTCCCAAAAATATCAATAAGCCATGTATCAAGTAGTAAAAGACAAGACAAGGAGTTACCAGGAGAAACCACAGGATTTCCAGGAAACCATGGCTCATCTATGCCACCCATAAAAGAGGATGGTAGTTGCGTACTGGGAAGTGCAGCTTGCAATGTACTCATGTCCAAAAACTACATATAAGACATATAATACCAAATTAACAACATAATCAAATAAGACCTATTAGCTTATCCTATAACACTTAATAATTTGTAAAGATTAATGCACAAACGAACAGGAAATTAATCTTAGAGATCATAAAAAATAAATAAAACAATTTACATGAAAGGAATGAAGATATATTCAAAATAACTAAAAAGAAAAATTGGATGAAAAAGGAGAAATGGCAGACATAATATAGAGAAAAAGGCAAGCTGCTATCATAAGAAAAAAAGAAACTATTGAAATCAACCAATTCTTTTGACACTTCCCCCAAAAATAAATTAAAAAAGAGTAAACTTAAACACTAGCAAGTTTTCCAATTTTCTTCTACATGTCCTCAATTTGTCTTAGCAACGCATGAAGAATCAGCAATCAATAGATATCTTTCTCCAGCATGAGCCAATTGATGAGAGGAGATGCCACTATACCACTAATGTACAGCTAAGCATTGACAACTTGTTAGTTTAAAAACTTTATTCCAAAATTACATAGGAAAAGTTCACATATGTACATAACGCTTAAAGTCTATATATAGCTAAGGCAAAATTACACTTAGCGACACCAACTTTAGTCCAAATAATACCATTGACACAAACCTTTTGGACTAATTAAATTGGTATGAACTTGTCTTTAGGCTAAAGTTGGTGCCATTGAGTGTAATTTTCTCAATATTTAACTATAATTAGAAGTAAATATTAAATCATTTGAAATTTAATGGAATTTCATTATTTGTTCTTTTTGCCAAAAATAGAAGTTTCATGGGAAATGACTTTAAATATATTTCAAATAAGTTCCGAAACATTCTAGCAAGTTTAAAAATTCCGATAAGTTCCAATAAGGCTATTGAAGGTAAGTAATCCTAAAACAAGTTCCAATAGTTCCAAGAAGATACTCCCTTCGTTTTTTTTTTAAGTGCCCCATTGAGTTATGCGCGGAGTTTTAGGCAAATGAGTAAAGTAATATATAAGTGGGTATGGTTAAAAATAAAAAATTTGGAAAAGTAAGAGAGAGAAATATGAATGGGGATATAATGTGAGAGGGAGAAATATTATAAAATGATAGTGGGGACAAAAGAAAGAGAGAGAAATAATATATAATGTGAGTGAAGTTTCTAAATTCGGAAATGGGGCACTTAAATTAAAACAGTCGTTTTTGGGACTTCAAAAAACGGAGGGAGTAAGTCCCAATATACTTCTATGTCCCCAATTATTTAGTTGACACATTTCCCTCTCTTTTTATAAATGGCATGGACCCACTTATTCTTTTTATTATTTCTCTATCTCAATTATTATCCATCATCTACTAACTATTATAAAAATAATGCCCCACTACCTATTATAAATGATGTCCCGTTACCCACTAACTATAATTAAGATATACTCCACTAACAACTATCACACAATAAATTAAAAAATTAAATTGCCTAAAACTTTGTGTTGATCAAACTATGTAAGCTAAATAGGGATGGAAGGAGTAAATGTTTTTCAAGTGAAATAAATGAAGCCTAAATCGAAGTAGAATGAAAATATGCACCTAAATGATAAACAAATACTCATAAGTCATAATACTCCCTCCGTTCCAAATTAGTTACAATGTTTCGACTTTTGATACTATTCAGTATTCACAATCCCTACTTTGACTAACTTTGTTAAATTCCTCTCAATGCGTATTTTCAAATATCATTTCATAATTTTAACTTGTTGATAACTAGAGGTATTTATGATTGAATTTATGCACTGGAAAATGTCATAAAAGGAACATGACAGCTAATTTAAAATGGGGAAACAGTTATTAAAATCAATAGAATGCTACCTACCATATTGTGTGTTTCCAATTCAGAATTAAATGGCACATCAAATGGATTGCCAACTTTCTGCTCACTATTTGCTATATTATTCTGCCACAATGAGAAGAAAAACTCAAACACTGGTGAGAAAATAATGCAAGCAATCCCTGTAAGGCTGGGAAGGAAAGGACAACACCTACCATGAAAGGATGCATTGGTTCAACAAAGGATGATCCAAAAGCACCATGAGATGGTAAAGTTGGAAATGAGAATCCTTCAGTAGATGAAATTTGCTGAAGCTCATCTACAACAGAATCCTGCAAAAATGAAATTCCAAAAATGATTTCAAGAAAAGAAATAATAGTCTCATTATGCAATTTTTATGAAAGCCATGCACAATATCAACAAGTAATATGGATATCTAGGCAGACAGCCAAGAAAGAGAGATGATAATCCCCTTTATAGACATCACCTGTGGAGTTTTCAAGCCAAAAAACAGATCAGTGCTAGAGGAATTATTGTCGGCAGAAGCATGCAAATTTATGCTTTCCATGTCTGTACATTGATGCTGTTGTTTGTTGGCTTCTTCAAAGGCTTTCCAATTCTGCCGAACAGAGTATCAAATATATGAAAACCAAATTATCCACTCTTGTTTACCAAAACTGGTAATCCCTCCTCACCCAGCACCCCCAAAAAAATCTATAGCAAATGAAACAATAGAAATAAAAAATCTAAAAAAATAATAATAAATAAATAAGCAACAGAGTAACATTTATTGACTAATGCCAAGCACAGCCAATCAGAGAGGGGGGAAGTCGATCAAAGGAGAAGTTGGAGAAGATTTCCTATATCCATGGACTCCGTTAAGTATATCATATCTCCAGGCCCCCACAGTCAGGCAAAGGAATGACTTTCTTTTTACACGAAACCAAAAACTTCATATATAAAAAAAAAAACCTGAGTATTTGGCATGTCAGTTGGAATATGAACATTTGTCAGGCCCTCATTCCATAGATTAGACACCAAGAGGGGAGGTGAATGAATAGTAGAACTTGGGAATTCTAGCCACTGCATGCTGACATTCGAGGGTACAGCAGAACTTAAATTTTTCGCAGAAACTCCACCTTCAGATCCAGCTTTTGGACCACCAGTATCTGAGGTATTTGTACAAGGGGGACTGGGCTGAGGTGAATCAAATGTTGCCCACCCCTCATTACTGGGTTCTGTTGGCTCGGGCGGCTTTTGGTCTAGATTTGAAACAGGAGGATTCTGAGAATTTTGAGAAAAGAAACTTGAAGATGATGAACTAGTTTGTGGAAATTTTTGAGACAAATCTGGAGAATCTGCAGATGATTGAAACAAATCTATTGATGCAACATGTCCAGCGCTTAGTGCTTGAAACAGATCAACACCCACAATCGGATTGGTGGCCGCCGGCCTTGGGGATGCATCCTCAAATAGATTCAGTCCACCAACTGGAAACTGTGAAGGAGTGGAGGAGACTTTATTTTCAGTGGCAGCATTTGAGTGATTGGGCTTAGACTTGACATCAGTTAAGCTACCAGTATCAGTTGACTGAAAAGATACAGAGTTCTTTTCAAATGAACCAACACTCCCTGAAGATACAGTTCTCTGCAGAAAAAACATTGCTGTCAATTATAAACATAAAAACAGGAAAACTGAATGATTTTACTATACACACAAATGCTTACAAGCACAAAACTAAAACTCTGCCATGACTAATTGCATTATTGCATAATTAAGCATGCCACACTAGGGCCTATTATTAGAAATTCTAGCAAAATATCATGAAATGTACCAAACGGAAACTATGCGATGAATTCATGAAGTTATTACTAATAACATAGTTGCAAATCAACCATTCTACAATAGGGCACTATTTTAGAAAGTATACTTTTTCAAACAGCAAACTCAGATATCCCCTTCCACCCCCTTTAGCCCTTTGCAACAATTAGCTTATTTCAGAGGCATTAATACCCTTTGTAGTTTCTAAATGACATCATATTAGTGTAGATCATACATGAAGGTAAAGATCTCAGAGCATAGATATAAGCACAGATGCATGTTTGTGAGTAAAGAATAATATTCACCAAGCCATGAACAGGTCATATAGAACATTTCCTTTTGTATGAAACTAAGATATCGGTGGCCTTAATTTCGGAATCAGACTTTGCCTTAAGAAGATGATTAAACATCCTGAATTTGCAAGCTTTCAAGAATCAATAAACCTACACAAATTTCATACGTAAGAATTCAATAATGTAAATGCATGAGACTGAAACCATTAGCCTCTGCAGCCTGAAGGCCAATAGCATCTACACTTGTTTCGAAAATGCAGGTTTGATTTTCTTCACAAAATTAGGCTAACTACATTTAACAAAACTTCTGACATGCCATCTTTTAGAGTCAACCAACCAGAAGAAAAATTTATTTTGTTTTCCCAAATTTTTATTTTCATTTATAAAATTACTGCCATTACAAGTATCAGGACTAGGAACTTGAGGAGCCTGGTTGAACTTCATCCTCTTTTATATATTAATTCACTTACCAAGGTATAGAACCAAAACACTATCTTTTGAGAAGTAGATCAAACAGGATTAACTAAGAAGAGTAAGATCAACATTTTTCTTTTGAAGAATCACAATTTTCTAGGACTTCTGCTCATAGAAAGCATGAATCCTCCACAAAAAGGCCTATTCAAATAACTCTTAGGTCGCAAATTTCTCAACAATCAATGTATCATCAATTTTAATGTAGCTCGTGCATTATGTATCATTGGCACTCTCCCTGCCAATGCTACAGACAACTCTGTAGCCCCTAATCTAATATATATATATATAAAGGGGAGTATTTTCCAAAATTTGTAGTGAGCCACATAGGATTGAATTTTCTTAACGCGCCATGTAGAATTATAAATTTAGTTATAGCCAATCAAATAAGAGATTTGTAAATTCTTTTAGAATTAAATAATTCAAATGCCACATAAGCAAAATTGGCAAATGAGATTTTAAAGTTTAAATTAATTAAATATAAAATGCTATCTTTTGAAATTAGGAATTTTATCTAAATATATAACGAATGAGAGGAAATTCACAATTTATTTTTAAATAAAAATATTAAATGATATACTATGTACAACGAATAAAATAACAAAAATTTCCACATGGCCTGAGTCACCTTACCCAATCAATCAATCAAAATCAAAGCCTTAATCCCATAAGTGAGATTGGCTACATGAACCAAATTTGATTATTCCGTGTAATCATCAACAAAGATCCTCCACCTCCATCCCTTACGATCCAATGCCTCGTCCTCATGCACATCCATATACTTCATATCCTTCCTAACTCCTTCCAACCAAGTCATTTTCAGTCTCCCTCTCCCTCGTTTAACCCCTCCATGGTCCTACCCTAAGTCACCTTACCCAATTCAGCTTATTACAGATTTAAATGCTATGCTTACTTCCCCATCATTCAACTCTTGTATACGACCCACCTCTTCCAGGCTAATGTTAGCTTCTCATAGATGGCTCAAACAGGTAGCCCACAAATCAACACTGCAATACCTTCTCCAGCATTGAAGGTATTCCTTTCCAGGTTTCTCAATCGGTTAAACTGATTATCTGAACATAATATGACAGACATATCAGCACCTTGTGGTGGAGGGAGGGGGGTTGAATGTGTGAAGGGATGAATTCTAGAGATTGATGTAACTAACTAGATGACTTAGAAGGTTAAGTGCACAAAAAGGCAGGAAAAAAAAGATAGTTTGAGGGAAGTTGGATGCTATTTCATTCATTAATAAAGATCTAAGCTTTCTTACAAGGAGGCTTGAGGCCACCACTTTCCTTAGTGCCTTTATGACACCAATCTCTACACCCAAAATGACTACAAAACTCAGCTACCTAAGCAAGTTCCCACCTCTCCTTTTTATATATACATACTCAGCCAAAATAGGATAAAGACAAAGTAAGAAGGCTGCAGCTAGCTGTCATCATTTGAGAGGATGACTGCAGTCATTGGCTGCTCTCAATGATTTGTGTGTGCTGATCCACTCCCTGCTGCTGCTCCACTATCCCCTCCCCTAGCTGTACCTGCTGTCCTTTCCTTCTCCTTCTTGTGTATGTGATCGACCCCTTAGGCTTATTGCTCAAGGCATTCGTTACAATTGGTTGGTAAGCTGACAATGTAGAGTGGGTATGCCATTGAACATATTCTGCGATACTTAACGGGTTGGTAGGAATTCCAAACCATAAGCTTAGGATGGAAACCAAAAACTTACCAATATCAGAAAAGCTGTGACATCCGTACCTGTATCTAATACATATACATAATTACATACCACTAAGGCCCCAAGCACAGGTACCTTATATCCTCTTTTCCATTAATGTCATTTGGTTTCATATCAAAACATTAGAATTGAGAAGCTGGGGAAAGACATTGAAAGGCTAATCATCAACTTCAAATATCTTCTTCAAGTGATCACTCAAGCAAAATCCACATCAATCGCTTCACAATGTGTACAATGCAACCTATAGGCCTCTCCAGCCAACAAGCAGCAAGCCTACTTGATTTAATGATCGAGATTTATGATGTGCTTGGTGGCAAAGATGGAATTTCTTTATATAGGAGAGAATTCAGGAAGGTAGATAAGAGGTAAACAAATGCGAAAGTAAATTATTCTCTAAGTCATACACTCTGTCAAGTTTGAAATATAAGCAAAACTTGACAGTTAATTTTTTTCATAATGAACACAAAAATAAATAATAATAAACGTATTTCATTGATATACCCTTTACCAAACAGCATTTCTATTGTCTAAATAGAAAAAGTTGATTAAAAACTAGCATAAATCATACCATGTCATATCATAATTGAGCGATTTCTTTCAGGACCACAATTAGCATCCCGTCACACGGTTTTGTTTGAAAAATAATTTTTTCTCTCCCAAAAAAAAAAAAAAAAACCTATAGTACAAACAAAGTGAGACATCCATACAGCAAAGGTTTGCTAAAAAATAAGTGGTGGTGTAACTATTACTTGGCTTCTTGTTCCTATAGCTAGTCACACTATTAAATGACAATGACACACAGGATTCAACATAACATCCCCAAACATGTATTCCACTCCCTCCCATCTAGAAGAGGCAGCATGAAAAAGTAATCACAAACTATATGCTATTGGAAGTATTAACCAGTCGAGTTAGATATACAACCTGTGGCCGTGGCAAGGGAGCTTTGTCAGTGTCTCTCTTTGCATAAAATTCTGAATGTGTGCTTGAAGTCTGGCGATGAAGACCATCAACTATTTCCCTTGAGGAATCAGAGGCAGGGCTTGAAAATCCATCATCTTTCTGAAAATTTGGTGAATGAGGATTAGACTTAAATGGATCGCCACCACTTGAATAAGAGTAGTCTGAAACTCGTGAGCTGGATCCATCATTTGCAAATTTGTCCTCATAATGATGCTCGCTTAAACGACCAGGACTATATATAAAACTCGCAGGCTTCCTCTCATAAAGGTTATGATCTGAGCCAGGCTTTCTTGAAAGTGAACCTAGGTTCTTTCTGTTCAGCCGGTCCTCATACTGAAAATCATAAGGTGGACTTTGAGAGAAAGAGTGATACGAACTGGCTCGCCTGGTTTCATCTCCAGTATTTCTCTGGATCTGACAAATACAGACAGATTAGTGATACTTAGCATAGGTTCACACATTTCTAATTAACATCAGAAACATGAAGATAGCAAGCAAGAATTAAATCTCCCGACAAACTAGTGGTAATGCAACATAATTACATAAAACATTAAAGAAAAACTCACCAGTGTATCCCCAGAAGACTTCTCAGAATTGTTTCCTCCGGCATATTTACGATTTATATAGACAGACTTGATAAATTCTCGGACCTTATCAACATCACTGAAGGAAAAACAATAACAACTCTAAAATTCTTCAATATGATATTTAACATTAAAATGTAACAAATTACTCTTTACCTATTGCTTGGCTGTCTCTGTCTATGCAGATCCCAGTCCTTCAAATATACTTCCCTTGCTCGCTAAAAACAGTAACACCTTTAATAAGAGCATGCACACAGGTATATATAATATATATGGAGAGAGAAAGAGGGGGGGGGGGGGTGGAGGTCATTGTCAAGACCAATGTCAATATCTACCTGATTACCACCATTTTGAAGAGCCTCAACTTCTTGTGACGTGAATTTGGACATTGACACAGACTTCACCCGATGTGTAAACTCACGACTGCGATAAGATTTTTTTTTTTTTTTTTTTTTTTTGTGATCGGTCAAGCATGTTGGAAGAAAATACGTAACACAACAGAAATGATATGGTCAATGTTACTTCAAAGCCACCAAACAGGCTATATTATTCGGATACATAATGAAAATGGCTCCAGCCTATACAAGGTACTTCACAGGGAGCATAGGCATTATTTAGTCATTGGGATGAAATCTAAGAATAAGCAGTGAAATTTGTCTAATTGTCCAAACCAATGGCACAGACTTGAGATAGCAGGCATAGAACATTACTGCCAGCATATATGAATAAGCAGACATAATTGGTAAAATTATGACACAATGAAATTACGATCCTGTATAAGAATGCTATACGAAGTTGGTACTCAATTCAACAACATACTAATTACACAAATCATGCTAGACTGACAGCCAGTCATTTTTGGACAATGCAAACTGAACTGAATTTTAATCTCTAAATTAGAACCACCCTATTTCAGTTAAATTTGAGCCTATTGACAAAGTGGAGCATCTAAGCACTGCAGATGACTAACAAATCACAGCAACTCCAGTCGTTAAAAACTACCCCCTCCGTTTCATAATAGTCGCAACACTTTGACTGGCACACTGGCACGCATGCCAATGCACAACTTTGACCATTAATATTTGTAATTATATGTTATTAAGAAATATAAAAGTTTAATATAATGAAAATATACTTAAAAGACTAATCCAAAAATATTTGACATGGCAACATATGTTTTTTATATATTGGTAAAAATACATAGTCAAAGTAAGCATATGAATAGTGCAAAAGTCAAAGTGTTGCGATCATTACAAAACGGAGGGAGTATAAGAATCTTACTAGCTGAGTTTTGTATGAATAATAAAAGAAGATTGAGCCGTGTCAAGACAGAGTGCAATGCCTCTCAGTTTCATATACTCCACGAATAAATATAATTTTGTTATTCTGATCCTTAGGTTAGTATAGGAATGGTCAAGATAGAGGTGCAGCCACCTCAATGATTCTACAATGGTCAAGCTCAATCATTCTAAAAAACTGAAAAAGAATCTTACTGTATCCCGCTACAAATCATGCAAACAAACGTCCAAAAATTGGTGCAAACATATTGAGGACCCTGCAAAAAAAGTTTTGAAGCATGTTAAACAAATATGAATCAGGAAAAGTAGATATAATTGAAGACTAAAAGAAAATTTTGGTTTCTGATAAAACAAGATAAGCACTAGATATGATCATCAACTCTTCTCTAATATCAGAAAATCTACTGACACACACAACATAAATACTCAAAAAAGTCGCAATCCAACCCTTGTGTGATCTAGAGAGAAAAGTCCAAAAGGAACAGAAGTACATAAGCCATGCAGAAACACATCATAGACTCCAACAGTCCATAAAACAGCAATCAGAGGACAAGGACAGTAATTATCAAGGCATATAGGACTGAGCACAACATATGAACAACAATCAAGAAAAAAGGGAAAAGATCAGATATTACAGATGAAAAATGGTCAAGAAGACTAGTACAAGAGAAAGAATTATGATATTAACAAAATCAGTTGCCAACATATTAAAAATATAGCAGTTAACATACTGCGGATTTTTTTAAAAATAAGATAAAATAAGGTGTAAAAAAAATTAGAAATGCAGATATCAAATATAACAAATAATTAATTACAAGATAGCAAGAAAATAGAAAGTAGAAATAAAAAAAAGGAAGATTTACACAAAACAAATAATCAAAGCACAAGCGTGACAATGGAAATTTTACAGATCCTATATTCCTATAACAACTTAGCTATAAAAGAATATAGAATGTGATTATGTGAACCCCTCTTCAAATCCTATTGCACTCCAAAAGTGCTATTAAAATAAGAAAAAGTTTACTCTTCTGAGTCTTATCTAGTCTTATAACCTCCATCCATATGTCTTATGCCTTAATCTACAACTCTTGGATTCCCTATTGCTGACACTTTCTGCATTGGGCGTTGGAGTTCCTTAGCTGGCGTAAGTAGAACATCCAAGACTCCCATTTCATATAGGACCCTCACATTTTTGTCACCTCATTAGACCTAGTTTAAGTGGGTCGGGTTCACATCGATGCGGGTAAATAACAAGTCAAAAGAGGGTAACCTTTTATTGGTCCAAAGCAGGTCAGGCCAATGCGAGGTCACTAGTTAATGGTGGGTCGGTAATGGACGGGTGAACGAGCAAGAAAAAAATTTGGAGAAGAGAGACAAAAGTAAGTACACATGAATACAAAGCTACACATATACAAAAAATTTATGTTATCTATTTATTTTTCTATCAAATTGGCCCTATATTAATCACGTCCAATAAAGGCCCTATCCAATAAAAACCCTTTAACCTTGACCCAACCCTATACCCTTTAGGCTACCCGCTACCCCTCATCCGTTTTCTAACACAAACATGTCAATATGAGTGTACTGCAAAATTTACAACATTAGAAAAATACTCCATTTGATTGCCATGTATGCTCCTAAATTGACAATCCTTGTTGCTACAACCAACCTCTTATAGTGTAGCATCAATGAAGTGCACCAATTTTATAAAAGGTAAAGACCATCTAAAGAAATGTCACCAAGCCTTGCCCTTGCAGACAAGAATAAAAGGCTCATAATCCAAAGAAATTAACCATATTAGGGAGTGGATGCCCATAGATTGCCATATTATTAGCACCTAATTTAGCTCAGAGGGGATATTAAATTGAAAATTAATGGTTGGCTGAATACCTTTCATGGTTTTGATTACATAATTCTTATCTCCGGTACTAAGGTTCTTCATGCATCTTATATTGGCTACTTTGATGACATTTCTCTTAGCCAAAGCTTCACCAATAATGATAGCTAAAATTTGAATATTTCCATATTTTACTCTAATAGAAGTCCAATTGCTAATTGCCTATCATGAGTCCTAAAATCATCAACATTTACAGTCATGTTTGATTAACTTTTCCACCTTCATTCTTCTACTCTTATTCAGATATACCACAAGATCTTCACAAGGATATCTTAATCTAAAATATGGGCTGAATTTGCAATTTTCTGCAATTATAGCTGTGTAAGCTATGTTGAGACTTGTGAATTTTTTTCATGATATATTCTCCTCTTCTCATCATACCATAAGGTTTCCGTTGTTCTACTCTAAACATACCAAAGAATTCTTATATTGTTGTCTTAATCTCAAATTTTGGTTGGATTTCTAATCTTAATTTGTTATTCCAGTTGTGTTAATTATGCTTGAGAATAGCTAGCTCCTTTTGAAGTTTATTCTCCCCGCCTTATTCTCCCTTATTTCAGGACCGATAAGTTCAAATAAGATAATTTCAAGGCTAAGAAGTTCATAAAAGATAAGTTCATGGACAATGAAGGTTACCCAAGTTCAATTCACAAGAATCACAACTAATATAATAACTTCAATTAAGATAAGTTCAGCCCTTGAAGTCTTTCTCTCTTTAGGATTATATCATCATATAGTTTCCACTACAATTATTTAACTTCGCTGAGGACACCCATTTTCAAATCAACTTAATCTGTAATAATTTTCTAGTCATCAATACAAGAATTCTTATGCTAGCCAAGTAGCTAATGACCCATTTAAAGAAAGGCCTCAAAAAAATCTATGTTGGACATAGGTTTGACCATTTGAGCATATCTGCATTTGAGCATATCTGCTGACTTTGTATAATCTAATAATCCAATTTGAATATTCACAAAAAGTTCTACCCATTTTTGGTTACTTATCATGCAACTTCTTCAACCAAATGGCATTCCTTAAAAAACAAATATTGCTTTCTTTTACCCGCTTTCATTTTCGGTAGGTGAGTAAGGTACTTGATAGCTACAAACAGTACAGACATTAACTTCGATTCGAAATGAAATACTACCATTTTCCTGGACCCAAAATCCCATCATAAACAACCTTTACAAAAGTCACAAATTTATGCCTCAAACTATTTAAAACGCTATTATTCATCAACATTAGTAAAACTACCATGTAATTTCAGCATCATTATTACCCAAGAAAAACAATAATTTTTGCAACTACATAGCCAAAAAAAAAATGGAATCAACCAACTACATCAATTACAACAAACCCAACTATTTTAGTCCAAACAAATCATAACATAAAATTAATTTTAAGAAAATACTAAAAACCGTAAATAAAGTTTATAAAAGGGAAAATAACAAGCAAGAAGAAATAATTACCAAACTATTGCAATTGATGCAACGTCTATTAGGTGGAAGCTTCATGAGACCTCTAATGATCTTCTCATTCCTTTCTTCTTCCCTTTTGCTGGACATCTTTTCAGCGATCTTAAGATAAATCAAATTAAAAATTCCCAAACTAAAATCGGATAATAAACCCTAAATTAGCAAAAATTACAAAAAAATTTTGGATAAGTAGACAAAGAAATTGTATCGGAAATCACCGAATTTGATAATCAACTTGGAAGAAAAATCGATAAATTAGGGGTTTATGATTCTGTCACTCGAATGAGTCCAAACAAAAACGTTGTGTGGTCTTTGCTTGTAAAAGTTTCAATGATTTGAAATGCTTTTTTTTTTTTAATAATTATTGTTAATTTTTATATTTATTGATTATTAATATTATCAGCTTTTAATTTTTATTAATTTTAATAAGACTAAGAAATGTCCCCACTTTTCATGAATTAATTAGCTAGCTATGAGTTGGAGCACAGCAAACCCAGTTTAATAAAATTCAAAATTTATCATCATTTAAATATTGTATGATTGTCATGTTTTTTTTGTTAATGGCATTAAGATTATTTATGGAATTTAGTAGTGTAGAAGTTCAAAAAACTAATTAAAAATTGGTAATATTATTTTTCTTTAAAGATGTACATGTGGTGCTTTCTCATGTAATATTTTTTCCGCCAAAGTATATTGACGATGTTATCATCAAATCAGGTGAAACAGATTAGATTACCCTTATAGATATATCAAGTAAATCTAACACTAACATTGAAAAAATATCATGAATGTGCGCTTTTCAAATCTATCTTAGCTACATTGAACTAAGATAATGGTCATTGCCTATATAAATGTATGATATCCTTGTAACAACATGATTCTCTTTCTTTCTCATTCGCTAACACCATGGATTCCTCCGTCTCTCTCTCCAATTTTTTTTAATTCAATCAATTTAAAAATTGAAGATTTTACAAAGTACAAAACATGATCCACATATTATGTATACAATGAAAGCGAAATATCATTGTGTGATCTTCTCATAACCACCGTGGTTGATTAATTGTTAGTTATATTTGTTTGGACTTTCAATTTCTCATTAGGAGCACTAGATAGATTTAACTTGAAGCAACTCAATTGTTGCTACACTTAAGCCTTGTTTTTGCTTCCACTTGTTGCTACACACGCTGCTTTACCAACTTTTCCCTTTTCTTTTTTTTTAAATAATTTGGCACTTGGGACGAGGAGTATACTCATTTCCACAGAAAGAATTGTGGGTTATCCTTTTGGTAAAAGGATCCTCATGCCAAAAGTTGCTCTAAAAAGATCTTCATCCTTATTGTTGTCGGTGCTCTTATTAGATTGCAACATGGATGTTAGTGGGACTTGGTCCCCACATTGAATATGAGACTAGACAAAGAAATCCTTGTATGATGAAAAGGGAGCTAGTCGGTGTTGGTCACTGCATGAGGTATTTTTGGTAGTTTGATGAGGAAAGCTTAGTAAAATTAGTAACATTGCAACTAAAAAAACATTCAATATAGGGAAGTATTGCAACTAATTCCAAACAAATTAAGCAAATTGTAACATATAGTTAAATTAAAAATAATGTTTTTTTACTAGGTACCTCTGAGGTATTGCAACATTCATGTGGTACCCTCATGGTTTCCAAAATTCACGAGGTACCCTTAAGGTATGTTGTTAATGTACAAATGTCGTTAACGATTGACAATATTAGATTAGACGTTAAGAGGTACCTTTTGATGCACGAAATACCCCTAAGATATATGAGTATTGTATTGATAAAGGATAAAAATTAGTTATTCTGTTTTCCGCAAATTTGATGGCTATTTATATATTGACCATATTTACCGTCTTTGCCCTCTCACACTGTCACACATTCATGTGTTTCTTTCTTTATTTTAAAAGTTCAAGCAAAGAGCTCACAATCTTAGACATCTCCTTCGACCTTTTGAATTACCCTACATATTTTACTCATAATGGTAATAGACTACCAATAAGATACTTTACTAATATTACATAGCAAATATGGTTCACTGCATTTAATTATAAATTGACGACAAGCAATTAAGTTTTATATGACTTTCTTCTTGGAAAAAAAAAAAGTTATTATATGACTTAAAATGTTGAGAAAACAATGGATTACCCAAATTTCCAAAAGGAGAAAAAAAGCCAAGAGGAATGAGAATTTCATGGACTATAGGCACTTCTAAAAGTCCTTAATGGGAATTGATCACAACTTTACCTCATTATATCGCTTTTGTAATGAAGAAATCTAGGTTAGAGAATGACCACATAACTGAGGCCATCAAAATCTAATCATTTTCCAACACTACTTATAGTGTACAATTACTGAGATTGGAGAAGATTTAAATGATGAATTAAATGTGTGAGGTTGTGAGCTAATTAATTGCTTAAGGTTTATAATTGAAGAAAGAAGAACAGGTGTGAAGCTAGGCTGCACAAGAACAGGTATTGACACGAATTTGGTTACGAAGCAGATTCGAAAAAGCGTCAATCTCAAAATAGGGGGACACAGAATCGACATATTAAAATTTATGTAAAAAAAAGAATTTGACAATTTATTTCATATTACGCAATATCAATATATCATATTACTATCATCTTTGAATAAGCAAGAAAGAAATGATAAACATGACCTATACTTAAAATCATAAATTCAAATATTATCAAATTATCAAACTAATCAACATAAAGTACTTACACAATTGATCTCTTTCTCTACTCTAATATCATATTGTCATTCCATCTTACTCTTTTGGCTGATATATAACAATGAGCTATGAAGGCACCCATGTTATTAACTCTTACCTTATCAGCCTTACATTACATAAATTTTCTAATTACCAAAAGTTGAAAAAATGAGGTGATGTGTCAAAATGCAAAACAGGCCTTATCATAGTTGGACACGGTACATGTTGAAGTGTCCTAATATATATAACCGAACACGGTTTTTAGGTGTATCCGAGACGTACCGTCGCGTGTCAAACGAGTGTTTGTATCCGATATGGTGTCCAACACGACAGTTGGGTGAAGTGTCCATGCACCTGAGTGTAAAGGGGCAAAAAGAACGATAGGGTTATCAAGCCATCAAATTTGTGGATAACTTTTAAGCCATTTTAAAAAAAAAAAAAAAAAAAAAAAAAGCAATATCCATAAAAAGTACTTTTATACCTTAAGGGTATTTTGTGCATTAAAATCTTACCTTAACACCAAACCTCAAAGGTACCTCGTGAATTTGAAAACACGAGGTTATCACATTTATACCTAAAGATACCTTGTGAAATAACCGAAAAAATAATGTATTCTGCATACATGATGTGGAACAATAAAATGATCCTCCAAATCTTCATACAAAGTTCTTTCTTTTTGGGTTCACCGAAGTTGAAGGCAAATGACGCATTCATTTAGCATATCTATAACTATCTTCTCAGAATTCGGGACAAAAAAATTCTACAATCTTTGTTCTCTAATAATCAAGGAGAACAACAATAACAATAGAATTTTTAATACAGCAGCGAAAGCAACTGTTATCCGACTAAAAGCTGCTCAAACTCTCCCCTAATCTAACAAAAGTGTACTTTAAGGAGATGTCTGGTCCTTTGAATCACCTTCCTCACTAACATCATCACTATCATCAGTTGAACCCTCCTTTTGTACTGATGACTCAATCGGTTCAGGCTTTTCTGGTCCTGGACCTGCGGATACTTTAACCATAGCTGGACGTAGTAGTCTATCACCAAGCTTAAACCCTTTACGATATTCTTCGATTATAACGCCCTCAGCATATACTGTGGAATCTTCTCGCATGATGGCTTCATGCAGCTTTTGACAAAATCATGACCAAGAATTATGTTAGAGTGAAAATAATGAACTAAGAAAAGGTAAAATATGAGATCTAACAATAACCTAAGACAACTCCATACGTGACATGGGCATACTTCCAGCACGGTACATATATCTACGTGGACTCACCAAGTTGGCAAGAAAATCAAGAAATACTTGGGTTTTTGAGTTATGAATGTATCCAGGTCCTCATAAAACCTGAAAAACCATGATTGAGTAATCGAATCATTTTGCCAAGTACTCGGCTGATATTCATACCAACTTGGTTGTCCACCTGTTAATCCACACAGCAAACAGCATAATCACTAAACCAATCAAGTCATTCAGGAGGAGCTCCATATTATGCAACTCAAGCAAAACATTTTACAATACTTCCATAAATCATCTACTTTAACAAAATGCTATAAGCTAGTCAACCTATCTAGTACAAAGGTAAGCCAAGCTCCTTTATGTTTGACCAAAGAGTACAAGACCCAGGCCAGAAGGGATGAATAGGGGGAAAGAAGGAAAAAACAGGAGAAACAGAAAGAAGAGGCTTATTTTCTCACAGCAGCAAACAATAATTTTCAGCATAGTAACAGAAATTAAGGACTACGTAATCAATATAAATGAACTTACCAAAGGATCAAAAGGTTTTCCGATTGTCTCGACAGGAACAACACCAATTGACCCTAAAATTTCAACAAACTGCTTGTATATGCTCTGGTAACTATTGTTGATTTTCTCCTCTGCTTCAGACTCTATCTTGAGCTGGGATTTAGCCCTCTCAAAATTATCCAAAACAGCCAAAAAAATTTCAACAACCTCTCCCTGTGCATTTGACACCACAGAAGAGCGTTCTCTATCTGTTCTCTTTCTAAAATTATCAAAATCTGCACTAATCCTCAGAACACGATCTCTTTCTACTGAAAGATCTTCAGACAAAGATGCCACCTTTCTTTCAAGTGTGTCCTTTTCGTCTTCAATGGATTTAAAGAATGCCTCCAACTCAGCAACTTTGGACTCATCGTTATTAATTATTGCCTCTTTATATAACTGTAAAGCAGTTATTACTGGGGATGTGGGAGCTTCATCAGCATCATGTTTGACATCATCACTTGCTGCCTCTTCAGCAGTTTCACCATTCAGACCTTCATCTGTATTGTCCTGTTACAAAACAAAAGATCATGAAGAAGTTGAATAATACAAACGGTTCACTACCTTTCAACATAAAAAAATGTAGCAAAATGTATTCAAGCAAAGAATAAATCAACCAGAGTACAGGTAAACCCCAGATCACATCACAAATCATGATCTCTGGTACAAATGTACGATTATGCTTCAAGACCATGCATCAATGACTAGGTAGTTTCAGGCTACCATCCAGTATTCAGTATACAAAAATATTGGTTTTTGTTAATTCATTATAGAGAACAGAAAAGACATACACTACAAACATGAACATCAGCAATTTGGCATTAATGTTACCCCATCACC